ACTTTCTAGTTATCCCCTTTTACCTTCTTTTTTTCATAGGTATATCGATAATATATTTTTTATTTGGCACCATGGTGTTGATGCTCTCCTCGACTTTGAGAAGTACGCCAACAGTTTTCATCCCATATTAAATTCACTCTTGAATATTCGCCCACCCACATTCCTTTCCTTGATGTTACTGTTAATATTACTAACCAACGCCTCTCTACCACGCTCTATTCTAAACCTACTGACAGTCACCTATATCTCAACTATCGAAACTCCCACCCCAGCAACCTGAAGAAATCTATCATATATAGCCAGTGTGTCCGTATTAACGCATTTGCTCTGACCCAGCTGACTACAAAGCCCACATATGCTCCCTTACCAAACACTTTCTTAACAGTGACTACCCCTTTAAAACTATTAAATCCCAGACCCTTAAGGCAGCCTCACGCCCCTATATCTGATTCTGACTGTATACCATTAGTTTTTAACTTCAACTCTCATACCACCAAGTTGGCCAACACTATCAAAAAAGATTTTCGTATCCTTCGAAAGGACCCTAATATAAAAAAATCTGTATCCTCCCTTACTTGCTAACCGCCAACCTCAAGTCTATCCTCACGTAGTCCAATTTACTCCCGAATCCGACTTCCAATGGTAATATTAAATGCAACAAACCACGCTGTAAAGTATGCAAGCACCTCATCACCGACAGCGTTGTTAGGGTTCCACACACCTCTTCTATCAATCCCCCTCCCCTGTGACTCTTCGAACGTTATATATCTCCTCATGTGCAATATCTGTGATCATGGCTCTTATATAGGGGAAACTGGAACTAAATTTAGACTCCGGTTTACCACAAACAGTCCGTCCGTAGCAAGAGCAAGGGGTTCCCTGTCGCTGAACACTTTAACTCCCCTGGCCACTCCATTCACAACATCCGATGTGTTCTGCTGTCTAACAATTTTCCATCTCTTGACCATAGAAAACGTTCAGAGCTCAAACTCATTATCAAATTCAATACTCACATTTTAGGCCTTAATCGTGACATGGGTATTCTGAGCGATTACACACTCACACACACTTAGCTTTTTTCATACCACCGTATTCCCGCATCATTACTTTATGTACACCTTGTTATATTTCATATCACTTGTATTATGCTATATTTAATTTTGACTTCTGCGTCTCTTGTTTCTAGGCTTACCTAGTTTACTTTGTTTTTGTTTATTTTGTTAATGGTTTATTATTATTATTATTATTATTATTATTATTATACTATATTACATTATATCATATACATATATATGTATGTGCATTACGTTTATATATTATCTTATAATTTTTATTGCCATTATATATATCTGTATCATGGGCTATCGCTTCCACTTCTCGATATCAAAGTACTTTGTTTTACTCATTATCTCGCTCCCATTATATATCATTACCCCCATGTCTCCAATATTGTTTATCTCATTTAATTACCCTCCTTTATCTATTGCCGACTGTTTATTGTTTTACAATGGATCTGGTATTTGCCAACTTTTGTAATCAGTTACGGTGATGAAGTCTTGAGGACAAAACAAAATATTCGTTTCCTGAATAAATTTTATTGTGTTCTACTGTCTAACTCAACGTTTCCGCATCATTATTCCGTCTT